GGCAAGTGAAAGGGGCTTCGAATCTGTTTAATCAGATGAGACAATCAGAGGAGACATCAAAACCTTCCGCCAAGAAACCATCAGCAGGCCCACTTGTATGTGGTTCGAAGAGCATCGCGGGCCCCAAACAACAAATACCTCATAGTGAAAGTTCTTCCGAGAGCGATTCAGATTCAGATTCAGATTCCAAAGATGCTATGCCTGTTAAAAGAATACAAGCAGCACTGAAGTCGTTGATTGAGCCCTATCCTCATGCAAACGGGACAAAGCTAATTCATGCGAAGTCATTGGCTCCTGTACCGAGTTTGGATTCTTCTGATTCAGACTCGGATTTGCAGGAAGCATCGAGACCTGACACAAAACGTTCTCTATCTACAGGTTCTGCAGTATGTTCTAAAGACGGCGTATTTTCTTCTAAGTCTGATTCAAGAGTTGCGTTACCGGTTGAAAAACTCAAGGCTGCATCTGCTTTGGTGACTCATTCCTCTTCTCATGCCAGTACGATGGAGTCAATGGATTCGAAAAAGCTAGACACTGTTACGAGGCCATTATCTTCTCATGCAGATTCCGTTTCAATAGCGACAAGCAGACTTTCAGGCAAGCAACTAACAAAATCATCTGATAAAGTTGTTTGTAGTTCGAGAAATGACGTGTTCTCTAAACTGCGTGATACTTTGGAGACTGATTCCGATTCTGATTCAAGCGCAACCAAGCCGGTTGAAAAGGTGAAAGCAACTTCAAAGCAGCTACGGATTAACTCCCATGCGAACAGGATGATAGTCTGTCAAGCGTTAGAACCAGGTGATTTAAAGAGGAAGAATTTTTCATCTGATTCAGATTAGGCATCAAGATCTTCAGAGAAGATGCGAACCATTTCTTCCCGTTACTGGCGATGTTGGCCCCAAGCAGGCTATACTTCAACGTGAAAATTCTCCCGACGTCGATTCCAATTTCCAAAAGGCTGTACTTGTTTAGAAAGTGATAGCTGCTTCAAAATCATTGATACAACTCTCTCATGTAAACAACACGACTCCAGTTTAGACGAAATTATCCACTATTTCCACTCGGCAGATCTCTTCATCACATTCAGGCAGGTCCTGTCTTCCCTAATTTAAAATATCATAATCTTTGTCGCGTCTTTGTTCTAGTTTTATAACATCATCTTTTGGGGACAATCGCTCAATTTGTACTAAATAAGGTCGAGACTGATTCCTATCGCAGCAGTACTGAGCGCCTTCATCTTATGAAAGTTGTTTCGAAAGACTGTTTTTTCATAGTCAAGCATATAAGACTATTCCTGCTCATGCAGAGAATCCGACTCATCACCTTAAACGAAATAGAGCGAAAACGATTCATATATCGTTTTATAAGCAGGTTTTTGAGACTACCAGTATATAATATATGCTAGATGTATTCATCCTATTTCGTTTAAGGTGATGAGTCGGATTCTATGCATGAACAGGAATAGTCTCATATGCTTGACTATGAAACATAGTCTTTCGAAACAACTTTCACAACTTGTAGGCGCTCAGTACGGCTGCGATAGGAATCAGTCACGACCTTATTTAGTACAAATTGAACGATTGTCCCCAAAAGATAATGTTATAAAACTAAAACAAAGACACGACAAAGATTATGATATTTTAAATGAAGGAAGAGAGGACCCGCCTGAATCTGATGAAGAGATCTGCCGCGTGGAAAAAGTGGATAATTTCATTTAAATTGGAGTCGTGTTGTTTGCATAAGAGGGCTGTATCGATGATTTTGAAGCAGCTATCACTTTCTGAACAAGTACAGCCTTTTGGAAATCGGAATCGACGTCGGGAGAATTTTCACGCTGAAGTATGGCCTGCTTGGGGCCAACCGCCGGAGTGACGGAAAGCAATGGTTCGTATCTTCTATGAAGGTCTTTACGCCTGATCCTAATCAGATGAAAAATTCTTCCTTTTTAAATAACCTGGTTCTGACGCTTGACAGAGTATCATCCTGTTCGCATGGGAGTTAATCCGTAGCTGCTTTGAAGTTGCTTTCATCTTTTCAACCGGCTTGGTTGCGCTGGAAGAACTGCTAGCTGAATTTCCCCACCATTATATGAGTATACCTGACGTTTCCATTACATTTTACATGGCCTTGTCTTCTCAAAAGTTATTCTTATCCAGGTGAACTGCAGTTTCGACCTCGCATAGGTCTTATCAGCGGGAATTGAAACGTGACAGTGCAGTATCTGAGCTTTACACGTTAACAATTCGGCCACATTGCCACGAGTGCCTTTGGGTCACAGGACAGATGTGAATTTTAAGGAAGGCCAGGCCTTTCTCCCATATTACATTCTTTGGTACGATTGCCGATTAGGCAAACGTATTTTTGTTATATAACTATCGAATACATTACTTATTCGAAGGTATAAAGACCAAGATGGTGTGGCCTTTTGTGTGGTCGCAGTCTCCTTTCGTTGAATA